CACTTAACTCAGAAAGAATTCCTATTTCCTAATTACTACCGTGCGGAGCACTTTCTACTTTTTTCAGGAAGGACACATGTTCTCCCTTGAATGAATAGGGGTAAAACTGTGCCAAGATCAGAAGAACCTTAGCCACTTTAGTAACTTGTAACTAACATGTTAGTAGCCTTAGTCAGATTATTGCAGCTTTCTAGCTGAGACTTCTATTAACAGGTTCTGTCAGCCAAGTTGGGTTTCACAAGAGCACCAACACCAGCTTGAGCGCGCGCAGTGATGTTGACACTTGAATAGAATAGCTTCCACCAACAGAGGTTCAAAAATTTAATGCTTCGTCTATTCGTTGACGAGAGTCCAGTAAATTGCGGTCTCATAAACTAACTTTTGCTGCTTCCCTCTTTTCAAGAGGAAACATTGTCTAATAGTTACCTTACGGTTTTTTAATATAGGCAGACTGTTAATCGCACTGCTCGTCAATTCTTATTTATACACCTGTGATAATCAGTTATTGCTTAGCATAGATTCTGATGAAAACGATGTACGATGAAGAATAAGATACATAAACCATGATCACTTGGTCGGTAGAACACCAGGTTCAAAACTGAAAGTACTCATCTCCCTCACCTCCTTCTTGGTTAATAAATGAGTACCACTCTGACAGACGAGTGATAAAAAACATGAGAATAGACACTATGCTTTCACATAGTTGCTGTCAACTCTGTCTCTAAAAATAAAGCACTCCTTGCTGGTAACATGGAAACGGAGATCAACACAACCACCATTAGCTTAATGAAAACAATGGTGCTAGAATTGGCTCCAATATGTAAATGTAAAAGACCTACATGTCAACGGTTGCAGATTTTGCCTGCTTCTAGCACACAGATTAGAGATGATGCAGATTGTTAGTAAACATAAGTTTGCTCATTCCCTATCAGCCTGATCTCACCTTCAGCTGAGGGAGACAATCATGAAATACCAAGAAAGATGTTCTTTCTGGCTAAAGGGTTTTTTATGGATTGTCTTGCCAAACTTTAGTTTCAAAAGAAGATGATAACCGTACGAAGAAAGTATCGGTTTATATCTTTAAGGGTTGACGTAAATCGATCAGAATGATGATCACATTACAAATTCGATAGGCGGGTTACAGTAACAGTCCATCCGAAGCTCTGGGGAACCAGTTCAGAAAAATATTGCGGTTTATCTTCTGAACAGAAGATATGAATGGAGCCCTTAGGCAAATCACATGTCTCTATGGAAGAGCACTTTTAGACAGGAAGCATGTCAACTTCATCGCGCAAGCCATTTCACAAGCTTACTCTGCCTACTTACAGTATACTATCAGTGCTAAGCTTCGAAAGGCAGACGCAGATTCCAAATCGGAAAGTGCGTTCGACTGGGAGACATAATATCAAGAAGTTGTTCATACCAATCCTAGAGGAAGTGCTGAAGACATCTGTTGAAGAGATCAGCAGATGAACATAAACGGGCTTTACCTCAAGCACTTACGGTTTGCCAGCGACACTCTGATCTTCTCAAGGTCATCAGAGAACGCTCACAACGAATCTAGGAGCTCGACGACAGCAGTGTCAAAGTAAAATTGAAAATGAGCCTGAAGAAGACTTAGAACACGCTTAACGAATTCGCGACTTCGCGATCTGCTGATAATGGACTTAATTTTGAGGAGGTGTGAAACTCAGACAGCTCGTTTCTGCAGCAGAGTATCGCCCTTCAACAGAAGAATAAAAATGGAATGGAGCACTTTCGAAAAATTGATAATATTTTTAAAGGAGAAACTTTCCATATGCTCTCGGTAAGTATCCGATCATTGTGCACTCAGATGCTGATCCATAGTTGCGAAATGTTGACCCTAGGCTTTAAAGCTATTCATAAATTGCAGACTACACAGTGTAGCATGGAAAGTGAGACGTCATCACAAATAACACGTAACAAGAGGAAGGCGAATAAATTGGTACGACAACGGTGAAGAGTGTATGATACGGTTTCTCGAGTGAAGAGGTTAATATGGCCATTGGCAGGATACGTTGCAAGAAGCGCCAATCATCGCTGGACCAGTGAGTCATTAGATTGGATTCCGGGATGGAGAAAACGGCTGGTTGTAGTACCTCCAGGTCGACGACACTAAGAGCTGAAGAAATTCGCTTGATGGATGGATGCCATCTGCACAAGGCAAGAATTTGTGGCAAAGTCTTGAAGTGGACTTCATGCAACAGGGATTATGATTACATTTATTATACACCATATTCCACACGTTTCAAATCGTATTTGCTTTATGTTCATGGGACATTTCGCAGCAACACTGTGTCACAACTATTTGCAATAGCTTGAATTGTTTTTTTGCGCCCTGCTCTTGTCAGATGACCCTGGAAAATAGATCAGGTGCATTGTATGACGTCAGGAATAATATCTGCATGGTGAGTAAACCAGATATAGACTTTTGCGATAAAGTACAGTGAATCCGCAGAAATAATTAAAGTATCTTTAAAGTGTGCAAGCGATGCATTGCTACCGTTCAACAATAAACAGATATTAATCGACAGAATCTAGACTGACTAGCAAACGTTAGACTCTATTACTGTAGGTTAATCGATGCACTTACCAGAAACAGCGAAATTTAGAATTATCCAAAAATCTGGATTACTCTTTATCGTTAAATATTAAACTGATAAATAACTTTACACACAACTCTAAACTACAGTATAAACCAGTTCTGGTCTAAACTTGAACCCAAACTCAAACTGATGAAAGGCTATTTAGAATAAGTTACCAAATGTTTAAGGTATCATTTCCTCAAAAAGACACCTTGCCCAGATGATTTACCACAAACAGAAATTAGCAGGCAAAAATATAGCGCTGAAGGTAGCTGTTTCCATTTTTTTCAATTTTTTCGCGGATATCAGAAATCCTTTCACCGCACTTCCAGATTGAGCATGCCATAATAATGTACCATGGTCTGGTAGACACTATCGCCGTCGTATTGCTGGCTATGCTTCTTCTTCCAGTAATTGGGGCAGGCAATCTGGCGGATTTGCCAAATCTGAATCCGATTCAACGTTGGCTTCGACCTCTGTCACCCTCATGTATTTTAATATGCAATATCAATATAGGAATGTTAAGAAATTCCTCGACGTAATAGATGAAAGTCAAAATTCATAATAGATGAAATCAAAAGACTCAGCATGGGAACTAAAGGCGCTTAATGCGGAAGGGCTAGTGAAATTTTGTACTCTGATCCTTTTGTATCAGAGACTACAATTAGTTAGGTACAACACAGTCTCATTTTCTTGCAAGTCAAACAGTTGATAGCATGGCAATTAAAAATACTTTTTTTCAAGCAAGTTCTTCGGCCAAAAGTAATTTCAATTAGCATGCAGAAATAGGCATTTATGAAGTATTGGTGGTCCTATTAAGGAAACAGTGCAAAACGGTTTATTAACACATAAGGCCACGGAATTGGTTTGTCGACATATCATCATGCAGAAAAACAGTTTGTTCTGCTTTTCCAATTGCTATTTATGATTGAATATTTCATACTTCAACTTCGACGTCCCATTGTAGATTGACAAAAGTAAAGATTGCATGAGAGAATGAAACATGGTTGATAGTATTCGATTTGTCGCCAGGGTAATCGTCCCGGCTTCTAATGAACTCCTAAAGGGTTGGCAAGCAAGTCTTTGGTATCGAGGTTTAGCGGAACTCCGTATGTCGATTAAAGCTCTTCACCTTCAGGCAGGGAAGAATTGAAGACCACTGCCCACGAATTTCAGGAGAAAACCTCGTGAAAACATTTTTTCACGCCGCTGCCATTTTGAACGTATGACTACTACCCTTGGCCAAGAGAAAAGAAAGACCTCATCGATGCGGGATGCATGAGGCCAAAACAAATTGAGAGGAAAGTGCACGCTTCACCTGGATTGTCACGGTCTAAAATATCTGGCTTGATGACGTCGCCAAAGCTCAGCATATATGCCGTAGTCTTGATGAACAGAGCATATAGGCGGAACTAAAATTTGTGGTTAATGCTTAGTGTTGTACATTGCCATTATACACAGTCCTATTCGTTACCTGCATGTCAAATATAGTCAGCGCGTAGCGTCTGAGTATTTGACTCAGCCGTACGTGTATCTATAGTTTGGCACTGGTGACATTTGTTGAAGTCTGCAATTTTTACATTTCATACAATAGTGGTGCAGTAGTGTATGAACAAAATTAATAATAGATAGTAGATGAGATATCTGACTTTACTTGAGAGAATAATCAGAAAATTATGTTGACGTCGTGATAAATAGACCAACCCTGAGATATTGCTAGCAATGGCATGCAAATAGAATTCATTTCCAATATGGATCGTCCATACATGTATGCGCGTTATTATAGTCACTCATAGTATGCCAGCCAGTTATAAATTGCATATGAAATGTCACACTCAAAATGATAAAATAAATCTCAACAATGGCTTATTAGACTGCCCTGCACTTTATGGATATGGACAGGTTATTTCGATTATTTTGTTTCTCGACTTTGATCAGTTCTGAATGATATTTCAGTCATTTGGAAGCTAGTCCATGGACCCAAGCGACAGCAGGAAAACTGAATATTTCATAACAACGTTGATGAGAGTGGAACATTGCCGTATAGTCGACATGGTAGGTATTGCCCGATTTTGTCATCGTTTAACATCTAATGCCTCTGCTCATTTATTTTATCCTTCTGTTCAACTTAAATTATTGAAAGTAAAATTAATATCGTTTCCTGTACACTTGATCGGTTGTCATATCTGTAAAAAGATTGCGTTTTCAGCAGAAAACTAATTTTGAAAAATTACGGATGAGTTTAGGAGTCTAACATTTAACCAAACGAATTAGAAACTTCAAATAGGCACAACAAAAAATTATTTAGTATCATATTTTACAGCGCACATTCGTATAAGTATGGAGGATTCAAATCAACGTCTTGCACGATCAGATGAAATACTCTGTCTTCATCTAAATCACACTAAGCATTGAGGCGTTTCGTCGTTTCCTCGCCACGACCGCTGGAGAAATGATCACCACATAATTCGTCAGTCTTGTCCGGATCAAAGGAGAGTAGACCAACGGGGAGAGTATCAGCGCGGACCTGTCTTGAGGTGACAAAATGATGGGACTCAATACAAAAGGGGTCAGAATTAGAGGCTCAAGTGTAGCGGGCAACAAAATAGCAGGACTCAGAGTTAGGGGAGAAAGAACAAATGGGTTTAGAACCCTAGGAGATACTACGATAGGGAAGAGCAGTAGGGGCGACAAAATTACTGGCGCCATAACCTGCGCATTTACAGTTTCTATACCAAGAACTAGAGGAGATAAAACTACCGGAAATAAAACCAGTGGAGATAGAATAATCGGTCCCATTAAAACTGGATCTAAGATTGTTGCCGACAGTACAACTGGACTAAGAATAAGGGGTCTGAAGATAGCCCTCTTCCCACGGTTTGTCGGTTCTAGTTCATATTCGAAAACTATAGCATCCTGCGCATTTTCCCTTTTCCTTCTTCGCTTTTGCGACGGTAAGCCTTCTTCAGCATAATGTCTTGCCATCTTAATTAATTCTATGTCCCTTTCCTTTTCTGATAATCTAGACAAGTACTCGTAATCAGAAGGAACGTTTCTGATGTTTAATGGATTATTAGGTCCGTACACCATTTCGTTCTGCTTTCGATTCATAAATGTGTAACCTTTACTAAGGAGGTCTCTTCTTTGCTTTGACGTATACGTTTTATCAAGAAGTTTAAAGAACCTATGCAAATCGTACAACTGACTTCTGAACATAGATTTGCGGTAGAAAAAGTCGACCATAGACTTCGCAAACTTCAGATATACTTCGAAATTCGAGTTCGCTTCTGGGATAATTTCTTTCATCGCCATCAGAACATCAGATGCTCCGGAAACTTCGAGCGCCAGTTCGGTCAGGGAGCGTCGATCGCCTTTACTTTTAAGAGGAACAATTTTAGAATCTGAGTCTTCATTGTCCTCTGAAAGTGATAATAGATCCGGAGATAGTAGCCTTTGCTCGTTTGGGTTTTGACGGGATATTCCAAAAATCCTTGGCGATAGAATTCGGATATTTCGGGATTTCCGCTCGTCCTCTTCAGAGGGTGTGCGGAATTGCCTCAGCACATCGGTCACGGATTTCCTCAGATCGCGCTGCCATTTTGGAATTTTCACGGGTCTTCCAGAATTCCAGCTAGACTCCATAAATTCGTACGCATTCATGACTGCATCGAACAATTGGTAAAAGCCAGGCACCGTCGATTCGTCTCGATCTTCTAAATACTGCTTCATCATTCTGCGTACCTCCCTTTGTTTCCGTACGACGTATTGATGGATCTCGTCTTCCGTCACATTTCTCGACCGAGCACCGTTTCGCATGTATTTCGTTGATCTGTAGAAATTCGTCAGCCAATTCGCAAATACCCCGATGTAGGAACTTGGCTTTTCACTACCATAGTTTCTCGCGTGCTGCTTTTCCAGTTTTTTCAGGTTAATCAATTGATTTTCACTTAATGCGGATCGTTTCTGCCGGAAATCCTGAAATTCAAGAGGATTACTGTCTAACAATTCCGTTTAAGTACGTTTTGAAAAAAACCATATTTAATGTTCTTTTTATCCCATTCCTCGAAAAAAA